CCCGAAACTGGCCAGCGTGGATTCTATCTGGGTTCAGGTTCACGGCCTCGTGGGATGCTGCATGCTCTCGGATTGGCCTAAGCCCAGAGAGACCAATACCCCTTAATGACTTTGACTTGGTAGCCCAGTCGTACCCTTTTGCCCTTTTTTGGGTTCAAGGTTCCCTTATAAAGTAACAACGGTGCCCTTACAATATGGTTCCTGATCTACCAAGGATTGAAGCATACTTATGGGAACCTATTCCCTCAACCCTGAGCCGGATTCCGCAATGAAGAGGCATTGGGCTGGTTTCTAAGCCCTAAACCCTAAACCCTAAAACCCCCAAGGCAGCTAGAGGCATCTGTAGCTCTGCCTTATAGGGGCTAGGCGTGTTTCGGGTTTGACTAGTTTTCTGGGCGTGGGGCTACAAGGAAAACCCCACAAGGACTCGGAAACTGCCGAAGCCACCCCAAATGAGAATGATCCCAAGCAACAACCTCAAAAAAACCCTAAACCCTAAACCCTAAACCCTAAACCCCAAACCCCAAACCCTAAACCCTAAACCCTGAACCCTAAACCCTAAACCCTAAACCCCCATCCCTAAACCCTAAACCCTAAACCCTACAAAGGTTCAGATCGTGTCTGTGTCCGCCCCTCGTACCTTGCATCCCTGGGTTGACAGCCTCGCTGGGGATGAAGCAGCCTTCAGCCCGGTTCCTTGGGCGGAGCGAACTGGGGGGGGTTAGGGTTTAGGGTTTAGGGTTTAGAGTTTAGGGTTTAGGGTTCAGGGTTTAGGGTTTAGGGTTTGGGGTTTGGGGTTTGGGGTTTAGGATTTAGGATTTAGGGTTGAGTTCTTGCGCCCCCTCCTTTGAACGTTCCGGTTTACACAGGGTTGTAGGGCTCTTGGGGTATTTCATATTTTTCCTTTGTTGGGTCTTAATTGTGACTCTTTTTAAGCAGAGGGTGTACAGAGCGAACGTAGTAGCGAACCCTCCCTACCAAGGTTTACCTAGACCTGCAAGTGTTTGTTTGGGTGGAAGGGTTACCTGATTGTATGGTTCCTATGTTGTGACAAGAAAATCAGGTCAGGCACCCGAAAAAGCCACGGAACTACGATTGGGGGTCCAGGAAATAACAAGGGTTATGGTCCATACACCTTACGAAGAATGATTAGAGTAGCACAGGATGGCTAACCCCAATGTTTGGCTGGTCACTTCTCTAAAACATTGGCCTCGGGGCAGTCCGGACATAATTGTGACCGCAGCGATGTGGGGCTTAGGAGCTGGGCAGTGGTTTGAATTGCGTTCCCATCGGTGCGTTGCTATCAAGACAGCGACCATCAGTTGGGGAAGCGTTAGTATTGAACCCGAAACCCTAAACCCTAAACCCCCTAAACCCTAGACCCTAAACCCTAAACCCTTCAGGTACTCTTGAACCCAGAGTAGGTCCTCAACCCAACTCCTGGATGTGGAGGCCTGGAGGCCTGGCAGGTGTTGCGAATTCTTTGGGAGCGCCTAACGAAAAGGAGCAGCCGGGGCTTTGGACTCTTTAAAGGCCCTTTGGAAGGGTCCAGGATTTAGGATTTAGGATTTAGGGTTTAGGGCTCGGGTTTAGAGGTAGCTCGAAAGCCATCCTATAATGCCGATCCCTGCACCGAGGAGAACATGGGGGCATCGTCCTTGGGAGGGCACGCTGCCTTCGGAGGGTACCTAAATGCTCCTGTTTGGAGCGGCTTCTACTGACAGTCCAAAGACGAGTGCTCGTGGCCTGGCCGTGCACGTACTCTGTTGGGTTTGGGGTTCCGCGGTTCAGGGTTTAGGGGTTAAGGGTTTAGGATGCAACAGGGTCTTAGGGTTTTAGGGGTCTAGGGTTTGGGGGTTTAGGGTTCAGGGTTCAGGGTTTGTCCGAGCCCGGGGTCTGGGGCTTCCTGGGTTGGGGAGAGAGTGTTTTGTGGAGGCTCTTTTTTGGTGAGTCTGGGCCAGATGCTTCAGGCTGGCTTTGGCTTTGGGGCCTATTACGAGCTTTAATAGGTGGGGAAAAAATATATATATATACATGTATACATATGTATACTCTTCTTGTGTTTAAGAGGATCCTACTTAGGACGTTTTTTACACCCTTAACCCTAAAACCTTCGGAGGCTTGCCTTGTCAGCTCGCGGACAAGGCTTCGCGGCTGCGTGCCTGGGAGGACGCCTGGCGAGCTCTGACTGTCTGACTGGGAGACCGTCCAAGCAGGGTTTAGGGTTTAGGGTTTAGGGTTTAGGGTTTAGGGTTTAGGGTTTAGGGTTTAGGGTTTAGGGTTTAGGGTTTAGGGTTTAGGAAGTTCTGCGAGGGGGGCGCCGCTCTATGATTGATATTGTTTTTCTTGTAAGGTTATTGGTCAGCCTCTGCCTGACATTAATTAGCCAATCGAATCTGCTGACCAGCCGTGCATGTCTGCCGTCGCAGAGTGATTCCATCGATTACCCCTCCAGCTCTGGCAGCTTGACAAAGACTGGGCAATATGTTTGTTTGGCAACGTTTTCTAGGACCCAGAGACGGGCTCGTATGCCCTTTGTTTGGGAAAGCCCCTTAAACCCGAAAAAGGTCACCTTGTCAGCTTCAAATTGTAAAACATGGGCAGTTCTTGCTTTCGACTCTTGGTACCTACAACAACCACACCCCCACTCCCCCACCCTTTTCTTTATCTTTTTCGTTTTCGTTTTATTTTTCTTGTTTCTTTTTCGTTTTCATTTTGATTTTCATTTTCGTTTTCTTAATCTTTTCATTTTTATTCTTTTTTATTTTTATATTTTTACAACTTTTTTTCTCATTTTATTTCTGTTTTTGTTTTTATTTTGTTGTGTGTGTTTTCTTTTCTTTTTTGCTTCTCTTCTTTCCTGATCCCCCAGACCCCCCACCCCCCAGACCCCCCCCCCCCCCCCCCCAGACCCCCAACCGCCCCTTCCGCCCCCCTCCGGGTGCACGTGCCACGTGCATGAGGTACGGCCGTTTGCCGGAGCTCGGAGTCCAGTGAGCTGGATCGGCCAAAGTGGGTGTTTTCGAAAGTGCGGCTCTACCTGCGCCAGCGAGATCCCTACGCCCTAAACCCTAAACCCTAAACCCTAAACCGCATCCTTTGAACAAGCGCGAGACACCCGGGTCATGCACCTGGCAACTTAGAGGTCGGCTTCGCACCCTCCGCGGCGTGGGTGCAGAATGATTTTCGTGAGCCCAAACGGGCTGTATGTTCCTTGGGGACCAAATGAACCCGAAAGTTCGGGTTTAGGGTTTAGGGTTTAGGGTTCAGGGTTTAGGGTTTTGGGTCTGCAGTCATATACCCTGTACTACTATAGTCCTTATTCAGGCTATAAGAACCACAAGCAGGGATCATTGGGTCCCTCAGGGTGCTTCTCTGGATATGCGAGGTGCGCTCCTGAAAAGGGAAGCCGCTGCTTCTTATGTCTGGGTCTGAGGGGGGTGTTACCCTAAACCCTAAACCCTAAACCCTTAACCCTTAAACCCTGAACCCTAGGCTTTGTCATAGTTGGCCATCATTTTACACCTTTAAGGGTACTTAAACCCAATAAGGAATATAAAATTATTTTTTCAGATTCTCCCAACAATGAACAAGAAAGCCCGCAGTGCTGTGGCTAGTCGGGTGGCAAAAACCCTAAACCCAAAACCCTATACCCTAAACCCTAATCCCGATAAGGGGCTTTGCCTAAGCAGCCTGAGTAGCTAGATAGGCAGCGCTCAGCGAGAGAGAGAGAGAGAGAGACACGCGCCCGAAGGAGTCAAACTGTGAGATGTCCCTTCTGAGTGGATCATCCAGCTATGTGGGTGGGGGGGGGGGGGTTGGGGCGGCAAAAGCCTAAATCCTTATCCCCCTAACCCCAAAACCCTAAGGTGGAGCCGGACACACAAGAGGCGCCTGTGACGGAAGCTCTGGACACCAAGGCCTGGTAGTTTGCAGCCTAGCCCCAGGGCCCCAGGGCGGCTGCCAGCTTGAGAAAAAAAACAATGACCCTTAAAAACTAAACTAAACCCTAAACCCTTTATAACCCCTTTATGGAACCCTTTAAACCCTTAACCCTTTGAGCCAGAAACACAAGTCCCGGCTTCGAATCTGGAGCCTCTAAGTAGTACCTACGTTGGGCTGCTGCAAGCCTTACTTGGGTGGTCATGCCTCAGAGGTTCAGAGTTGCATTGGGGTTTGGGGTTTCAGGTTGTAGGGCATGAGCTCTTTCCCGGCACGCTCACCCAAGCCTGGATGCAAAAAGGTTGTAGGGTTTAGGGTTTAGAGTTGCATTAGGGTTTAGCGCTTAGGGATTAGCGTTGCGTTAGGGTTTAGTGTGTAGGGTTTAGAGTTGCATGAGGGTTTAGCGTGTAGGGTTCAGAGTTCAGAGTTGCATTAGGGCTTAGCGTGTAGGGTTTAGAGTTGCATGAGGGTAGGGTTTAGGGCTTAGTCCAGCTTCACAAAGGGGGTTCCGGTTTCTTCAGACAGGCCCCCCTGCGCTCCATTCACATCCGGGGAATCTAGAACCTCGGAGCGCTTTACGGGGGCTCCTACGCTTTGCAGAGGCTCCTACCTCCGAAAATCACCCAGGACCCAGGGTTGTGCAAGGTTTTTTTTTTGGGGACATATACATGTAAGTACAGATCACCAAACAAATGGATATACAACAAGATAGCAAACAATATACACAAGTTAAATCGTGTGGTCTATTTTTTACACATATACATCGTACCATGTACCATGTGAAGTCCCCGAGCAAAGGGGCAAGACTGGCACATCCCATCATCATTTAGGGTGTAGGGTATAGCCTACAACCCCAAACCCTGTAAGCCTATTCCAACCCCGAAACCTCAAACCCTAAATCAACCCCAAACCCTTAAAACATCTTAAAACCTATCCAAAACCCTGAACCTCAAACTATAAACTCTAAACCCCAAACCCTAAACCCTCAACCCTCAACCCTAAACCCTAAACCCCAAGCCGTATGTTTTACCGATAGACAGCAGGCCAGTGACACCACGATGGTGGCGACCCTGGCACCGGCGGAGCCGGCGCCAACTGCCGCAGCGCCAGCGCGGTGCAAGATATTCACCCTTTGGGCTCCTTGGGCTTAGGGCTTAGGGCTTAGGTTTTGGAGTTTAGGGTTTAGGGTTTAGGGTTTAGGTTTTAGGGTTTAGGGTTTAGGGTTTAGGGTTTAGGTTTTAGGTTTTAGGGTTTAGGGTTTAGGGTTTAGGGTTTGTCTGTAGGGTCTCGGGTTTGTAGGGAGGGGTTTGTACTGTGGGGTTTATAGGGATTGGTAGGGTTTAGGGCTTGGACCCAAGGCCGAAAGCCAAGCGGACTTTTCCGCAGGTTCCTGCGAATCCATAGCCAACAGAGAAGTTTTGTTTTTTGGGGTTTTTGTTCAGGTACCCAAAGAGCCAATACCCCTTAATTAAGGAATATGCCTGAAATCATATTCGGGAACCTCATCTGATTCAAGGTACATTCCTTGCTTAAAGGGTATTGGGCCCTTTGGGTAGGGCCGTGATCTATGGCCTGGGGCTGGAGCTGACATCTCGGGCAGCATTCCGGGCTTAAACCCTAAACCCTAAACCCTAAACCCGTCCTATAAACCCTGAACCCTCGGCAGAATCCATACCTCCACGGCGCACTTGCTGTTGGAAGTCCTAAACCCTAAACCCTAAACCCTAAACCCTAAACCCTAAACCCTAAACCCTAAACCCTAAACCCTAACCCCTCTAAACCCTTGGAGAGCTGAGGAGTATCCCGGTGTGGCGCCCCTCTACGCCCGGCTCAACGTCGAGGTCATCGCGTTTAGGAGTTCCTCTGGGTTTAGGGTTTAGGGTTTGGGGTTTAGGGTTTAGGGTTTAGGGTTCAGGGTTTAGGGTTTAGGGTTTGGAGTCCCTGAGGTTCCATGACAGGGTCGAGGGCTTATGTAGGGCTTTAGGGTTTCGGAATACACTCAGGGGCCCAGGGGCCCTGCGTGAGCATCCTAGGAACCCCTTAACATACATACTAGATGGCGGCGACCTAGGTACATGGACCCTGAACCCTGAACCCTAAACCTTTCAACCTTTCAACCTTTCAACCTTTAAACCCTTAAACCCTTAAACCCTAAACCCTAACCCAAAACCACCTTTAGGGAGTTTGGGGTGCAGTCGTCGCCTATGAGTTCTTTCACACAGGCGTGGCGACGGCACACCCGTCACCTCTGTGACCCCGGCTGCACTTCTTCATGCCCTCGGGGTTTACGGTTTCCGGGTTTAGGGTTTAGGGTTTAGGGTTTAGGGTTTAGGGTTTAGGGATGAAGGTCTAGAGGGTTTTGGGTTTATGGGGTTTAGGGATAGGGTTTAGAGGGGTTTAGGGTTTGTGTTAAGGGTTTATAGGGTTTAGGGTTTATAGGGTTTAGGGTGCCTAGGATCCTCAGTTGCGGTTCCTTTGCTGTTTTTTTTTCTTTTTGGGAGGGTGGGGGGGGGGGGCATGAGTGACATCAGCGGACCGTATTTTTTTGAAGCATCTGGTGGGGTCCAGGAAACAAGCCAACTTGTGACGTGTTGTATTGAGCTGGTTGCACTCCAAGCATGAGGCATAAGGCGCAGACCACCCACTGGCAACGGCGGGCGGGGGGGGGGGTGGGGGGGGTAAACCCTAAACCCTCAAATAGTCCCTATTGTCGAACCTTGAGTTCTGCTACTCAGGTAGGCCAAGGAGGCTTGGTTTTGATCTGTTACTCTGGTGTTGAGTACCAAAGCATCCTACATAGGCCCAAAACAACCCAGGGAGCATCTTCCTTTGCTTAAAACCCCCCAGAATCCGCCCCAGTACTTGGTAGGGCAGCTTGTAGCAGGCAAGTCGCCGGTCCCGACATGCCCCCTTCCGAGGTGACGAGCCTGTTCTAATCCACCGGAAGAACGTGATGAAGTGGATCCTTGCCGGTCAGTTCTCAGATATGCAGGTGCGGGCGACCGGTGCAAAATGAGGAACGTGGCCCCTGGAGTTGTACTGTACAGGCTGATTGCCAGGGTTCCTAAGTTCTGAGCTGCATAAACTCGCAAACTACCCTAAGCCCTCAACCCTCAATCACGCCCCCAAGCTCGACATGCTAAACTGCTGCAAGGCTTGTAAGCTGTAAGCCCTTCAGGTTCATCCCCTGCAGAATCCCTATCAATAGAAGAAGACTGACACTGTAAAACTACTATTCGCTTAAGAACCCTCCCCCCCCAAAAAAAAAAACAAAGTAAAGCAACAACAAAAATAGAGATGATCTTCAATATAGGGATTAGGTTCTTAAGCAAATGGTAAACATGCCTAGGGGTCCGGGCATAGGGAGCGAAGGTCGGAGCCATTTTGAAGAACTGCCCTTTGGCGCCTCCGAACTCGGTCTTGGGTTTAGTCGGTTTAGGGTTCAGGGTTTAGGGCTTACGGCTTAGGGTTTAGGGCTTAGGGTTTAGGGTGCTTCTCCAGGCTCCTCTATGATCAACCACTGCCTTTTTTTTTTCTGTGGCCGTCGTAAGGATCCCGGACATGCCAGAGGAGTTCTTCCGGTTCCCCTACCACGCGGCAACATCAGACCTTATCAGACCCTTGGCTTGTGCGAAGTTGGGGTTTAGGGTTTGGGGTTTAGGGTTTCGGGTTTAGGGAGAGACGCTCACATTGACATGGGGGGCCGGGGGGGCGGAAGGAGGGTTGACCCCAAGCATGGGTCCCTTGTGGGCCTTACGGGTCTCCTAAAATGTCGTATTTATCTTATGTTCGGTTCTATCCCTTGTGTTTTTAACTGGGGCGGGGCCTTCTTTGAGCAACGCTGCCTGCTCAGACGAGGATATGCACTGCTGTATCACCACGGAGGCACGCATGTGTGGGTGCGTGTGTGTAGCAGACTGTCGGGACGGTCGTCTCTCGCAGATTTTTGCGGCTTTGGGGCTATTAGCCTGAGTCCCCACAATCGACAAAAGGGTCTACGTACAAGCTTCAAGGGACCCTCAGCCCTAAACTCTAAACCTCTAAACCCGTATTGAAGCGTGGAGACTGGTCGAGTGGGTTGGGTGTTGCTCAAGTTTATGGTTTAGGGTTTAAGGTGGCTGGAAAGCCCACCGTACAACCCTAAACCCTAAACCTAAACCAGCGGCATCCAGCAGTTCAGTTTCTGTAGCACTGGCAGGTTGACCTGCTACTTATTGATTCTAGCTGTGCCTGTAGAGAAGACCTCAGGACAACAGGAAAGAGGACTGGCAATGGGTCCCTCCGCCCCAAACCTCTCAAACAAGTAATGAGGTATACATAACCCCTTTAAAGTGTATAGATAGAGGGCCCCCCAAATTCTCTCCTTCCCTACAAAGAACCACGGGGGGCCAACCCTCAGCTTTGTGAAGTAGTTTGCACCGCACCCCTGGCATGCCAGATCTTCAACCCCAGGCCCAAATTACCAGAAATGCCCATGAGTACGATTTGTTTTTCTTTGTTTGGGGGGCGAGGTGGGGGGGGGGGGGGGGTTCCTAGGAAGGCACTTCAAATCTCTAGTTCGCAGGTCGGCCCTTGGATTTTTTTTATGTTTCCCTTAATTCGGGTTAAGAGGAGTATTCATGGAGTTCTTACGGGAGGGGTAGGTACCTAGGGAACTTTCGGGAAGCTTCAGGAGCCTTCGGGAGTAGTGGGTTGTATCAGAAAACCTTAACCTTGGGTTGCAAAACCCGAAACTCTATACCCTAGACCCTATACCCTATACCCTAAACCCCAAACCCTATACCTTGCTTGAAACCTCCCTGTTTTAAGAACCCCATAAAATATACAGCATCAGATTTTGTTTCAGATGGTTTTACGGGCCATCATCAGCGGCCTTGTGAAAGACACCACGACCCCTAAACCCCAAACCCGAAACCCTAAACCTGAAACCCCAAACCCTATATAAACCCTACACCAAGACACCTCGATGTCCCAAACCTCGGTTTCCAATTCTTAACTTACGGGCCTTTGCTATCGCTAATGTAGGTCGTTTAGGGTTTAGGGCTTAGGGGGTTTTATCTCCAATCTATTCATGTCTAACTTACTGGTCCTTTCAATCTTTGGTGTAGGTTTAGGTTTCGGGTTAGGGCTTGTCAGACCTCGAATCCGGCAAGAACACACGCAGGGCAGGGTTTTTGGCGAGGCGGCATGGTTTAGTGTTTTGGGTTTCAGGTTTAAAAGGATCTCATGAGGACAGGAGTCTGGGTTCGAAAAAGGCTTGATAGGGGCTTCATGAACTTGGGGAAATTTGAGGGAATAAGGCTTGATTATAATGATTGGGTACTATCATTCGAGGAAACAGCTAAAATGAAGTTTTTGCTAGGGTTCCAAGATCAGTATGCGAAGCCCCTGAGTGTGCGCAGGCATCTACATGGATGCGGACTTCATCGTCTTGAAGGACTGGGGGCCCGCCATTCACAAGTCGTCAAGTCATCTTCGGAGCAACGCTCTTTAGCAGGGGTTTAGGGTCTAGGGGTTCAGGGGTTTAGGGGTTAGGGGTTTAGGGGTCTAGGGTTTAGGGTTTAGGGTTTAGGGGTTTAGGGGTTTAGGGGCTTAGGGTTTTGGGGTTTTGGGGTTTAGGGGTTGAGGGGTTTAGGGGTTTAGGGGTTTAGGGGTTGACCTTGAAAACATCCTAGAGCCTCCCGTCCCAGGATCTGTCCCCCGTGGTCGACCGCTTGGCCGACCATGATCTGGTCTCCTATGCCACGGTGAGCAACCCTCGCGGGGTGTGCTCAGAGACTGGTTCGAAGGTGGAAACTGAAAATGCTGGGGGGGTTGAGACGATAAGCACGCGCGTGCAATGCAAAGGTCATATGTACATATGTATATATGACTAAATAAATAAATATAAATATAAATATAAATAATGAAATAAACAAATATATATATATATATATTTATTTATTTATATATGCCCTTCCACCCCGACGACCTATAGTCACACCCAGCCAAAAGTTGTGCAATGCACAGCGCTTCAGCTAGCGAGTGGCAACAAGACCACGCCATCCCTAAGAATTGGATCCCTAAACCCTAAGACCTAAACCCTATAAACCCTAAACCCTAAACCCTACCCTAAACCCTAAACTCTAAACCCTAAACCCTAAACCCTAAACCCTAAACCCTAAACCCTAAACCCTTCCATTTCCACTCAGGACAGCTTCAGCTCGAACTTCATTGCAGGGCGCAAGGGCAGCGTGTTCATGAAAGAGATGTGGGAGAAGCAGAAGAAGCTTACTTAGCCAAAAGTCGAACTTTGAAGGTGTAGGGTTTAGGGTTTAGGGTTTTGGGTTTAGGGACGTTTTGGGTATCCTTAATTAGTCGGGACAATACAGTTTAACCCTTTTCTTGCGCCCTGGTTCTTGGAGAAGTAAGGAAAATGATTACGAAGCACTGTCCGCTTTCTGACAAGTCGAAAGAGATTGTCTGCTGTTTCGACGACCCCAACATCGCACCTTGGCTGTTAAGGGTTTAGTTTTAAGGGGGCATACTCCGTAAATCACCATAAGGACCGCTTAGCAATTTTGGAGTATACCGTGCCTGAAAATCAGTTTAGGGACCCCTAGCTGTTAAAGATCTCTTATGAGTCCCATGAGCTGTTTCTTCATCCGTAAACCCTAAACCCTAAACCCTAAACCCTAAACCCTAAACCCTAAACCCTAAACCCTAAACCCTAAACCCTAAACCCTAAACCCAAGTGAAGTCTGATGACAGGTCCAGCTTTTCGGGCTCTTGGTTGGATGCTGTCGCGAACGGCATGGCTTTCCAATGAGCCGTATGGGGGTTTCCGAAATTAGGGGTACCTTATCGGGGTCCTTGTCATAAGGGCATCCTACTATTTTGGGGGACTAAACAATGGTTCCCTTTTTTTCGTAAACCCCCATGTCTTAGAGTTTAGACAGTTTACGGTCATGTACGGGGATACGGTTCCTAGGGCAATGTCTAGAACAGAGCCGGCGTTCTCTACCAAGTCCAAGCTTACCCTAAACCCAAACCCTTCGGCTCAAAATTGCCCAAAAGCTATGCTCGACCCCCTTTCGCGGAGTCTGACTTGAAATCTCGCAGTGCATGAGCTCCCAACCTCACATGCAATGTCTTGTGCTGAGTTTCCTAAACCCTACAGTCTCCACCCTTAAGCCTCAACCCTTGACCCAAGTTCCCAGTAAGCCGCAAACCAGAGCCCTCGAAAGCCGCAAGCCCTCCTCATATACCCCTTACATATCCCTGAAATATCCCCTAGAAAACTTATATACCCCTTGTATACCCCTTGCATACCCCCTGCACCCTCTGAAACAGGGGCCCATACTTCAGACTTTAAAGAAGGTCAGGGGCCATATCATCTGACCTCGCCAGCCACCGAGGAATGTCACATTCCCTTCGCTGGAATCGGTGAGGGCACATCTCACCCAATGCTCAACCAGTTGCACAAGAACAAGGCGTTTTAGGGTTTTGGGTTAAGGGTGGAGGTCTCTGAATATTCTTGCCGCACAGTGGGTACGGGAAATTGCGGGGGGGGGGGGGGGGGGGGGGGGGCCGCACGCTTCTGTGTGTGTATATATATGTATATATGCATATATGCATATACACATACGTACCGTACACATACGTACACATACGTACACATACGTACACATACGTACACACACACACACACACGCACTCACTCACTCACTCACTCACTCACTCACTCACTCACTCACTCACTCTCTCTCACACACACACGCACACCCGCGCACCTGTTGGATTCTTTGCGCCAGAAAGCACAGGTCGACATGAAGACCTATTGCTTTGCAGACGACGAGTCCTTCGTGCCAGACCACTTCGCATATGTCCTCGAACACGTCCCAGACCTGGACCAGGCAATCAAGTATCTAGAAGAATCTGGGCCGCGTTATTCATTTCTACTTTCTTTCCTCAAACCCTATAAACCGTAGCCCTACACCCTTAACCGATAACTTTCAAAGGGCCTAGAAGCCCAACCCAGGAGAGGAATATCAAGCACGGACTGGATCGCATGGCCTTCCACATGTTCAACTCCATCATACCTTTCAAAAAGTACAGCTGCAAGAAGCTCTTCACCAAAGCCGGGGCCCTACTGGAAGCTCAGGTTTAGGGTTTAGGGTTTAGGGTTTAGGGTCAGACCTGGATGCAAAAAGGGTTTAGGGCTAGGGTTTAGGGTTTCGGGTTCATAGGGGATGTGTTCAATGATGACTTGTTCGGAGAACAGGCAGTCGCGTGCCCTGCGCAGCATGGCTTCAACACAAGGGTTAGGGCTTATAATAAGGAACCCATCGGGTGGTTTGGAGGGCGTGCAGGGGCCCCATATTCCCCTAATGAGAGCTTCGTAGTCCCAGAGAAGCCTCCATAAGCACAAGTAAGAGTTTAGGGTTTAGGGTATCTAGGGTTTAGGGTTAAGTTATGAAAGGGTCCGCTTTGCAACCTATCTCGGGTCATCGCGGCAGAGGGTTTATGGGCGCCATGAAATCTTCGGGTACCTGGAGGTTCATGGTACTTAGTAACGAATTATAACTTTACCTATAGGGTTCAGGGTTTAGTGTTTAAATTCAGGGTTTAGGGTAACTGTACTTGTAACTGTACTTATAACCATATAAGGGCACTTAAGGGGCTTATAAGTGGGCCATAAGTACAGTTATAGCTGGTTACGAAGTACCATGAAGCTCCAAGTAGTTGCATGGTCCCTGAATCTGGGCTCTTAAACGGGGGGACCCCTTATATCCCGCTTATATACCCTATAGAAATATCAGGGCCCATGTAGCAGAACCGTTTAGAGGAGGTACGGGACCACATGACGGGCCCATGAAACTACACTTAGATGAAAGAATTTGGTGCCACCCTAAACCCTAAAGCCTGCAAAGAAGAAAGACAAGTCTGGAAACAAGCGGCTGGGGCTCAGGCTGTGAGACTCAAATTTTGCCCGCCGCCTTTGAATATCAGACATCTCAGAGTCTTTCTCCTACAATGCTGCAAGAATTGGTTTAGGGTGTAGGGTTTATATAGGGTTTAGGGTTTAGAGGGTTTAGAGGGTTTAGGGTTTAGGGTGGGAACCCTCTGGTCTTACACAAGCGGGCTCCCTGCTCTTTGCCCCAGCAAAAAATCAGAACAGTCCTACGTCTTGAGGGCCTCTAGGGTACAGGGTGAGGGTTTAGGGTTTTCTTTGCCCCAGCAAAAAATCAGAACAGTCCTGCGTCTTGAGGGCCTCTAGGGTACAGGGTGAGGGTTTTGGGTTTAGGGTTTAGGGTTTAGGGTTCAGGGTTCAGGGTTTAGGGTTTAGGGTCCCAAGGGCACGACCGTGGGCCAACTCTATCTGACGGCCTTCGGCACTGGACGCGGCACTGGGCCCCGAGAAGCAGATGCCGGGGCCAAGGCCGAGGAGTTTCCGCGGGGGGCGGGTTTTAGGGTTTAGGGTTTAGGGTTTAGAAGTTTAGGGTTTAGGGGCTTAGGGTCTAGGGTTTAGGGTTTAGGGTTTGGGGTTTGGGGTTTGGGGGGTGGGGTGCATATAAGATCTAGGCTTTGGGACCCTAGAAACGCTAAGGCATAATCCGTATTTAACCACTTTTGCTCCCTAAGCCCTGAGCCCGTGGTTGTTGGAGAAGTAATTGATTGCCAGCGATACTAGCACGACAGTTTTGGTTGACGTACGGGCCAAATTTCCCAGTTCTTGCGAGGGATCTCCCAAACCTCGTCTAGGACCCAGAGCAGGGCTTAATTCTCTTGTCTGGGAGGTTTAGATTCCCTCAGAAGCCCCTGTAAATCAAAAAGGGTACCCTTCTTATTCCTGGGCTACTTTTGGATTTACAGGCTTAGCATCTAGGGCTTCGGGTACCAGGAAGTTCTTGCTGAGGTCGTGTGTTTATGGAAGTAAAGGGGCAGCGGCCCTACGGTAGGCGTACTTATTCTAAATCTCCCATCCCCTACTTGGGAATCTTATTCCCAAGCGCCGATTTGAATCCCTCATCCCTCAACCCTAAACCCTGCCGCCATTACGAGGGGAAGCCTTTCGGACACACCCTGATCCCTGAACCCTGAACCCTGAACCCTAAACCCTAAACCCTAAACCCTAAACCCTAAACCGACCCGAGACTTCGCGAGGCCTTCCTCAAAGAACACCCAGACTTTCAAGAACTGCAGGCCTCCTCCGCATGATCAGTTGGTTGAGGGTTTAGGGTTTAGGGTTTAGGGTTTAGGGTTTAGGGTTTAGGGTTTAGGGTTTAGGGTGTTCTTTTTCTGAGTTTAAGGCTTAGGGATGAAGGTTTTAGGGTTTAGGCTTTCTATGGGTTTAGGGTTTAGGGTTTAGGGTTTAGGTTAAGGGTTTAGGGCTTAAGGGTACCTGCTTTTCGTCCCTGTTAGTTTTGCATTTGGCCCCAAAATGGGTTGGAGGGATGGGGTCTGGGCTTAGTTAGGGTTTCCACCTTTTTGTGAGATCTTCTCTGGCTGTCCTCCTAGCAGCGGAAGCTTTGATTTGTGATACGGTGCCAAACCGGCAGCAAGCCCCTGGTTCAGACCCTAAACCCTATAAACCCCATAAACCCGACAAACCCGATAAATCCCATAAACCCTAGAAACTCTATAAAACCCTATAACCCTATAAACCCTCTAAATTTTATAAACCCTATAAACCCTAAACCCCAAGACCGTGCCGAGGGAAGCTCAGGCTCAGGGCTTCGAGTTTTTGTGGTTCATTCAGCGTTGCAGGTACGGTGCCTTAGATTAGAGGAGTGCGGTTATTGTTGCTATTGTTACTAAGGTTGTTATTGTTCTTGTTGTTGTTGTTGTTGTTATTGTTATCACTTTAAAAAAATGTAGGCTGTTTAACTTGAAGTGCTCATCCTAAACTGTCATGTCAGCCTTTCCCTCAGCAACAACCTGTCGTGACTTGATCGACTTAATGGGCTTAGGGTTTAGGGGTGCCCCCCCCCCCCCCCCAAAGCCCAAGTGCAACTCCTGCAGATGTTGATGTGCTGGACAGAGACGACCATCCATACAATCATGTGTATCGCAGCACTACTCTAGAAAACCCTAAGCCATGAGAGCCCCTACAGCAAGCTCCAGAAAGTTGGAGCATGGTTTATTTAAGGATGGCAAGAGCTGGGATTCCCTGTAGTATACCTTTGGGGTATGGGGATACAGATGTTCAAACTTTCCGGAGTTTACTGTAAGCCTAAACCGTTCTTCGTACCACAAGATAGGATACCCCTAGGCTGCGGCTAAACCCTAAACCCTAAACCCTAATCCAGCAGCAGCAGCAGCAGCAGCAGCAGCAGCAGCAGCAGCAGCAGCAGCTGAAAGCTAACATCCAGCGACCCTACGACATCCCCAAGTTTTCTCTCTGGGGAGGAGGGCTCAGGGTTTAGGGTTTACGGGGTCTTCAGCTTCAGGGTTTAGGGTTCAGGGTTTGGGTTTATGGCGTAGGGTTTAGGGTTTAGGGTCGGCTTCGGGTGTAGGATTTATGCTTTTCAGTTTCAGGACACAGCAGGTAGCATGTGCATGGTGTTTGACATGTCGTGTCGGAAGTACCTGTACTGTCCAAAGCTTGTCCCCCCCTTAAGACCTAAAACCCTAAACACTCTCCGGTTTAGGGTCCAGGTTGGTTGGGCTTGGGGTTCAACAGAGATTTTGCAGCTGCCGCCAGGGCAAACATGAAGGCGGGTGGCCTTGCAAAGATGCGCATAAAGTCGCACCTTCAGTTTCGCGCCCTAGCGGCAATGCTATTCTAGGGGTCGGAACAAGTACTAGGTACCTTATGGTCCTTATTTTTTAAATGTACTAGATAACCCCGCAAAAACCCTAAGCCCTAAAAGGTCATCTCTTGAGCCCTGCAGTCCAAGCCCCCGACCTCGAACATCCACGTGCCTAGCCGAAACCCTGAACCGAGAATTCTTCAGGGTTGGCTAGGCGGGTGGCGAACAGACCGAGAATATTTAACCAAACCTTCATCTCAGCTCTCAAATCGCCTCCACACTCTGAACTAGACTTCTCACCGAACGAGGGCCCGTGCTTTGCTGGTGTTGGTGCATTGGCGTGTTGGTGTGTTGGTGCGTTGGTGTGTTGGTGCGTTGAAGTTGGTGTGTTGGTGAGTTACTCTCTCTCTCTCTCTGTTTGTCTGTCTGCCTGCCTGCCTGCCCGTCTGTCTCTTTGTCTGTGTCCGTCTGTGTCTTTCTCTGTCGTTGTCTGTCTTCGCGTGTCTTCGTGTGCAATTTGGTGTCTCTCTGTGTGTCTGTGGTTGTGTCTGCGTCTGCAAAGAGTCGGCTTCACCCACATCAACAGGGTATTAATATTCAAAAGCCCGTAAACCCCCTGGCAACGACCTAGAATCTAGAGAGATTGCCAATGCTATAGACTTGCAGTCTCCAGTATGTGCTTTTGCAAATGCGAGGACCCGGAGTACGCTATTGTTTTCTTTTTTGAGGGTTGGGGTTCCCTCATAATCCCCTTAAAAACTAAAAACGCTACCCATTTTTCTTCCTAGGTTACTCCTGGGCCTAGCCCTAAACCCTTAACCCTTAAACTTAAACCCTAAACCCTTGATTACCAGCACTCGTCATTCATGTGAGTGAACAAGATGGCTCTTGCTCCAGTTTCATCGCATATCGACTTCTGTCCGCAGTACCAGAGCGCTTCATTCTGATTGAAGAGGCCCTAACACCTAAACCCTAAACCCTAAACCCTAAACCCTAAACCCTAAACCCTAAACCCTAAACCCTAAACCCTAAACCCTAAACCCTAAACCCTAAACCCTAAACCCTAAACCCAAACCCCCCCCCCCCAACCGCCCCGGTGGGCGCACAAAACACGCGCAGTTTCCCAAGGAAGTTCAAGGCCGGCTTTGCCGCCGATGATGCTCCGGCTCCGCCCCCCGAGCGCGAAGCACCCGCCGAAGAGGAAGGCCTCAGACCTAGGGTTTAGGGTTTAGGGTTTGGGGTTTAGGGTTTAGGGTTTAGGGTTCGGGGTTTAGGGTTTAGGTTTAGGGTTTAGGGTTTAAGGATCGGGGTTTCGGGTTTAGGGTTAAGGGTTACTTGGTAGCGCAGTGATACCCTCTACCTTTTTTGCAAGGTTCCCTTACCAAGTTCAAACATCACGTATATTACAAAGTGTTTCTTAGTTCTTGGTAGGGAATTGGGGATTTGGTTCCCTCCATAAACCCTTCATGGAGTATGATGTTAATTCCCTCGTTCCTTATCAAGAACTTCTTCATCCTCAAGACGAGGCTTTATAAACATTTAAAGAATGTTCCTCAGCAAAGCTAATTCGGAAAATATCGTGGCTCGGGTCACAGCGCATATGATTTTGCATTGGCAATGGGGTGGCATTTGTTTTTTGGCGTCTTCCTTGGTCACGGACGAGCGCAAACCCGAAACCCTCCAACCCTAAACCACACACGCAAGTCTCGCGGGGTGATCTAGGCATTTGTCTTTTGTGCGAGGGCGCTTGCGATGGAAAAATCTGGTGGGATTGTAACCCCGGCAACCCTGCCTTGCGGGTTTAGGGTTAAGGTTCGACCCTTGTGATAAATCATATATATATATATACGTATATATATATATATATTTTTTTTCCCTTCGTGGGTTTAAGAGGACTGCATACAGGAATACGGAATACATGCCACCTAACCCCTAAACCCCCCTAGACCCCAAACCAGTGTTGCTTAAGGCCTACCCGGGGGGTTGCATTTCGGGGGTTTTGGGCTCCAGGGTTGCTTTTTGGCAGGCTTCTTGGCATCTGAGGTTCGACCGTGGGCCCTGAGTTTGGTCCCTTACCCTATAAAGATCCGAAGTATTCGAAGTATGGGCCCTTCTTATACATAGTGTAAATAAGGGTTATATAACAAGGGACCTCGGCATCGTCCTCAGCCTGCGGTGAAGAGCGCTTTTCTAAGGTAGTTGCATGGCCTCTTAGCATGTGCCCTTCAACGAGGGCCCCCTTAGATACCCCTTTTAAAAACCCCAAGGGCCCCAGACTTCCGAACCGAACGGTTTAGGGTTTAGGGTTTAGGGTTTAGGGTTTAGGGTTTAGGGTTTAGGGTTTAGGGTTTAGGGTTTAGGGTTTAGGGTTTAGGGTTTAGGGTTTAGGGTTTAGGGTTAGGGTTAGGGTTTAGGGTTTAGGGTTTAGGGTTTAGGGTTTAGGGTTTAGGGTTTAGGGTTTAGGGTTTAGGGTTTAGGGTTTAGGGTTTAGTATGGGTGCCTGGCGCCTGTTTAGGGTTTAGAGTGTGCGGTTGAGTGTTTGAAGGGATAGAAAAGGAACCGAAACCCTAAACCCAAACAAATTGAGGTCCCGTCATAGGGGCCCCATGCTTTACACCCTAGACACGGAGAGTGTGAGAGAGAGAGAGAGCGCGAGCCCTAAACCCTAAACCTTAAAACCTAATTAAACCCTAAACCCTAAACCCTAAACCCCGAGAGACGAGACTTGAAAGCACGCGAGAAAGTGAAAAACTCCAAGCAGGCGCCGGCAAGGAGCCCGCGAATCCCACCCCTGTGGAAGCCCCTGAGTCATGCAAGGGTTTTGGGTTTCGGGTTCAGGGTGTAGGGTTTAGGGTTTCGGGTTTCGGGTGCAAGACAAGCTTCGGGTCTCGGGTTTGGTTACACAGGGTTGTGGCTAAGGAATGTAAATCAGGTTACGAGAATATAGATAGACATTCAAGAAGCTCATGCCCCCTTCATCCGGGCTGCTGGGAATGTCTTAAGCGCTGCACTGTAGCTAATTTTTGTCGCCTCTCCCTTTAACCATGCCGAGTTTAGGGTTGGGGGTTTAGGGTTTAGCTCCAAGCCAGCTGGTTTGTTACGTTGGTTCCCTAAGAACCCTGAGCAGGGGGTTGACCTAAAATTGTGGCAGCTTTCTGATGGAATCCGGAGCCCTACACCCTTCTATTCAAGGGTATAAGGAGGGACCCCTAGAATTGACCTTAATCTTATTCCCTTATAGAACCCCTCATTATACCTTATAGTGTAGCCCCTACAAAACCCCCCCCCAAGTCTCCCCTACAGGGTCTCAGTCCCTCCTTTCCTCGATTACTTCTAATCCTGAGGCCACACGAGCTGCTCCCGAGTGCAGGATCTACACCTACTGGGAGTACGAGGTCCCGAGCCTGACTTGCGACAAGCCCCCCCCCCCCCCCCCCCCCTTCGTCTGCGGTCTACAACTTGGCCACCTTAAGCTTACACCCTCGACCCTACATAAACCTAAACCCCATAAACCCGACTAGCTCTACTAACCCTTAAAGCCTTAACCCTTAAGCCCTAAACCGTAGCTTCTCATGTCCCATCCCCAAACCTCAAGTCCCCAGACCCGAAACCTTCAAACCCGATACCCGAAAGGAGCCTTGGAGTGGGTTCGTTTGTTTTTTAGGTTTTAAGCTTTATTGGGGGTAGGCTTTTTTGGGGGTTTAGGGTTGCAGGTTATATATATATATATACATATACATCCCTCTCTTTTCAAATGGTTTTCGGCCTTTGGGTTTTTTGGGTTCTAGGGCTTCTTTGGGAAACCCTAAACCCGAAACCCCAAACTACTTTTGGCAAAACCCAGACAGCAGGGCTGAACCCTGAACCCTGAACCCTGAACCCTAAACCCTAAACCCTAAACCCTGAACCCTAAACCCTAAACCCTATTTGGCAAAACCCAGACAGCAGGGCTTGGGGCCCCTCTACCTGCGCCTGAACGTCGAATCGTGGCGGCGCAATGCCCGGGCATGTGGTGAGCCAGTGTTGCTGGGCAGGTTTAGGGAGTTTTTGGCGGGTCTAGGGTTTAGGGTTTAGTGTTTAGGGTTTAGGGTTTAGGGTTTAGGGTTCAGTGTTTAGAGAGTTTGGGGTTTAGGGTTTAGGGGGATCACCCCTACTACTTCTACTCCCCCCAAACCCTACACCCCTTAACCCCTAACCCCAATCCCCAAGAGCGATTGCCTTCAAGGGGGATGGGGTAGTACTATCGGGGAGCCGATGACGAAAAAGCAAAGGCTGGTGACCTTGGCCAATGTGCTTGGGCTGCAGGAGAGTAAGGGGCCACCTTTTCGGGAGCAGTTTGTGTTTCAGCGTTTGTATGAGGAACCGAGTTCAGGGTTTGGGGTTTAGGGTTTGGGGTTTGAGGTTTACGGTTTGAGGTTTAAGGTTTAGGGCTTAGAATTTGTCTCAAAACTCACAGAAGGGTTTTAAGGGGTTTTAGGGACTTGGGCCGGATTTGTTGGCCTACAAGGTCCATAGGCTGAGGGCTGCAGATCGCTGGTCAGAGCAAGGTGGAGCTCCCCCGTCCCAGCCACGCAATTCTGCGTGATAGAACATGTTCTTGGTAGCCTCGCGGTAGCCTTTTGCAATTTTTTTGTGCTTCATCAAGGATTCCCTTAAAAAATTACCCAGCCCCAAAATCCCACATTACAATATGGTTCCTGGGCTGCCAAGTGTTGTGGTCTCGCCCAGCCCCACTCTGTTAGCGCTTTGTGGAAGTGGGTATGGGTTTAGGGGTTAGGGTTTAGGGTTTAGGGTTTAGGGTTTAGGGTTTAGGGTTTAGGGTTTAGGGTTTAGGGTTTAGGGTTGTAGGGTTTAGGGTATAGGGTTTCGGGGTACCGAAATCTGAAGCTCGAAGCCCTACAGCTGCCAGATCCCCCCACCCCCCGCAATATCGTTCGGGGGTCTCATTCGAAGTTTAAAGTTTAGGCCTGCGTTCCTGCCTGAAACCCTAAACCCTAAACCCTAAACCAGGCTCTAAACCCCAAACGCCCTAAAGCTTGCGAGGTCCGAGAACACGAAGCTCAGCTGAATTCCAAATCTCACCACGCTGGCCCCTCCCGAAGGTTCAAGGGCTTGGGGTTTAGGACCGAACCCTAACCCCTAACCCCTAAACCCTAAACCCTAAACCCTAAACCCTAAACCCTCCACTTTCAGCTCAAGGGGCTAACGGAGGGGACTATATCAGGTGTACATTTTTAACAGGTGCACAGGGGTTCTATCTTACTTAGCCCATCGTAGAACTTCTAACTTTCTGGGTATCCTTATTTACTCGGAACAAAAAAGTTTTTTGGTTGCCTTGGTTGTTGGAGAAGCACGGTAAACTCCAGAAAGGTTGGAGCATGATTTAAGGATGATTAGGGCTGTGATTCCCTTTAGTATACCTTTTGGGGTATTGGGATAAGGATGTTGCAACTTTTTGGAGTTTACTGTAAGATTTAGGGGAATAAGATTGAGGGCCCATCCTAGGTGTCCCTCCTTCCATCCCTTAATGACTACAGCTTCAGGCCCAGCTTAAGGAATTGTGACCCGAGACACCTTAGGGTTTAGGGTTTAGGGTTTAGGGTTTAGGGTTTAGGGTTTAGGGTTTAGGGTTTGGGGTGACCCGAGACACCCCAAGGACCGGGCAACTAATCACCGTTGCCTTTGGTGACTTGGTTTTTTTCTTGTTCTACGATGCCAGCTCTTCACAAAGTAGACCCGTCCCCACCTAAAAACAGGGATCTCGCTTGGGCTCTAGGGTTTCGGGTTTAGGGTTACTGTTTGGGCTAAGGGTTTAGGAGTAATTGCGGCGTTCCAGAAAACCAGGGTAGCCTGTCGACTCGGGCATCTAGACCCTCAAGCAGTTTGGGGTTTAGGTTTTATTCCTAAATCCTGAACCCGGATTTACGATTCGGGGGTGCTGAAGGGGTTCGAAGCCCGCAGCAAGCCCGCAGCAAGCCCCTCAACCACTGTGAGCTCCACCCTGATCTTGAATACCTGAAAGCTTATAAGATAAGGCACGACCATGGGCAATCATCTTAGGGTTTAGGGTTTAGGGTATGGGGTCTAGGCACTTCTATGGGCAATCATCAGCCGCAAACAAATGCCCAGGTTCCGGATGTTCCAGAAGAGTTCTTTCGACTTCCTTATCCGGAGGCTGCGTTGTGTAGTCTGTGAAGCTCAAAACCCTAAACCCTAAACCCTAAACCCTAAACCCTAAACCCTAAACCCTTGTAGAGGTTGCAAGGTTTTACGGTGGCTGTCCGCCTCAGGCGTAAGACTTCTGTGCCGACAGCATGGCCTTCAGACCTTAGGACGCCCAGTGGTGCCCTTACAGCCTTAAACCCTTGCATAGACCTAGTTAAACCAGAAAGGGTGACCTTTCTTCTCCTTCAGCTCATTCCCCTAAAGCCTAAACCCTAAACCCTAAACCCTAGAATTGTCCAAACCGAGGTGTAAGGAATTCCGCCCCTGGTGTTCGCAGGCCCGGGCCGACTTCATCAAATGGGGCCTCGTCTACAACAACGGCGGCATCTTCATCGAACCGGATGCGCCTCGGTCGCGGTTTTGTGGGAGCCATGGGCGTCGCGGAGGGTTTAGGGTTTAGGGTTTAGGGCTTAGGGCTTACGTAGGGTCTCTGGGAAAATCGCCCCTAAAAGGTGCTGATGACCCAGGACATCGAGGCCCTCTTCAAGAAGACGGTGGCGAGGCCGCAAAAAAAACCACAGCAGGTGTTGAGAAGAAAGCTCCTACTTGCGTCAGGGCAGGTATAACCCCATTTAGAACTGTACTTAGCCCCGTAAGTCCTCTAAGTAGGATATAATCCGAGCATCTGCTTAATTGGGGGGGGTCCCCCCCCCCACAATAAGGAAGGCATGGTTCCGCAATAATTGGACCATGGCCCTGCATTGATTCTCTATTAAAAACAATAGGCTGCAGATCCCTGAGGTGCTGTAGCTTCGCATCTCCGCAAGCAAAACAAGAAGCCTGCCGACAGATTTTTGAACCCCCCAAAATAATTTCTTTAAATGTCGCGGGTTTGCCCCATACGAAATCCACCCTAATGGAAAGTAGTCTTCCGGCGGGCTTCCGGCCGAAAAAAATCTCTTTAAATGTGGGGGTATTAATTAAACAGATGCTCGGATTAACTAGATTGGGTTTGCGCCTCCAAGTAGCCCTCCAAGACCTTGGGTTCTTAGGGTCTAGATGGGCTTAGGGTAGACCCTATTAGGGTTTAGGGTTTTGCTACTTATTGCTTGAGAACCCCCCCCCCCCAAGAAAACCAAACAAAACATTCTTGTTTTTTGGGTTTTTTGGTGGATTCTTAAGCAAATAGTAGTACGAAATTGCTTAAGAGCCTCCAAAGAATCGAAAAAACATGTTCTTCCTTGCAGCATTGCAAAGGCAGTACAGGGCCAATCTTGGGGGATTATCATCTGGGACTTTTCGGGGATTTGTGAGCAGCATTAGTATTTTAGGGCGCGGTATAGTACGTTCATACTACTGTATCATCTAGAACCAAGAGGAACCTAGCAACAAAAAAGGGCACCTTTTTTTGGTTTAAATGGGCTCCACGGGAGCCTAAGCCCCAAAGCAAGGGAATCGGGGCCTACTCTGGGTCCTAGTGTCCCCAAACCTGAACCCCAAACCCTAAACCCTAGTATCCCTAAAACCTAAACCCTAGTATCCCTAAACCCTAAACCCTAGTATCCCTAAACCCGAAATCCTGGGGCATAAAGAAAAGAGCAAGGAGGGGTAACTGCATCGTCGGCCCTTGGACTAAGGAGGAGTTCGACCTGGTCTCCTCGCATCTTGGGCGCTTTAGGGTTTAGGGTTTAGGATTTAGGGTTTAGGGTTTAGGGTGCACAGAGAGGATGTTCCCCCCCAAAATCATGGGGATATGAAGGTTGCGGAGCTTCTCCAGGTGGGTTTGGAAATTATCAACATGTTCAGGTGATGCTTGTCAACTCTGGTCAGGAGTTGTGGGGATTGGGGTCGACTGACCCCAACCCAAAACCCCAACTCCTAGACCCTAAACCCCTGAGCCCAAAAGTCTGAATCTCCAAGTTGTGGAAGAGACAAGCCCTGCGTTCCCATAACCCTAAGCCCTAAACCCTAAACGACAAACCCTACACAGAATCTCGGGCCCTACCACACGGGCCCCTCATGGCTTGTAGGTGTCCATAGCGAGCGGGAGAAGCCTGGGGAGACTTAGGGTTTAGGGTTTAGGGTTTAGGGTTTAGGGTTTAGGGTTTAGGGTTTAAGGGTTTAAGGGTTTAAGGGTTTAGGGTTTAGGGTTTAGGGTTTAGCCCGTTGCTCAAAAAGGGTTCAGAGTTGAGGGTTTAGGGTTTGAGGGCTTAGGTGAAAGCGAACGCTTGAAGGCAAGAGGAATCCGATGGCGTTTGCACGGACCAGTTCAACCCCGCCGTGGTAGCCGGCCCGCGCAAGAGCGTGTATTTCAAGGCCCAGGATCGTAGGTAGGATAAGGGGGACCCTCAAAAGGGAACCCCTTCTTAACCCTCTTCTGGCTCTCTTAAACAGGGACCTTATTCAGAGGGTCTATATCCCCAAGGGTCCCCCTGATCCTACCCCCTACAGGAGGGTTTGGGGTTTAGTGGCTGGAGAGGCAGGAGTAGCAGTAGAAGCGGTATAGCGGTAGGAGTAGGAGTAGGAGTCATAGTAGTAGTAGTAGTAGTAGTAGTAGTAGTAGTAGTAGTAGTAGTAGTAGTAGTAGTAGTAGTAGTAGTAGTAGTAGTAGTAGTAGTAGTAGTAGTAGTAGTGGTGGTAGTGGTGGTAGTAGTAGTAGTAGTAGTAGTAGCATAGTAAGAGGAGTAGAGTAGGAGCAGCAGTAGCAGTAGCAGTTGCAGTAGCAGCTGCTGTAGCAGTAGCAGTAGCAGTAGCGGCAGCAGGCTAGACCCGCTGATGGGTTGCGGTCTTTGCGCGGCAGGCGGTCTGGCGAGCGCACAAGTCCAAGCTCCAGAATCACTGTCCCATCGCGGACAAGCAGAAGGAGATTGTCTGCTGTTTCGATGACATCAACGATGCTTGGCTGCCTCTAAAAACAGTACCGGCTTCAGGAGCACGCCCAAAGAAGAACTTCACCTCCAAGCCAGAGGGTGCTAAGTTGCGAGCACGCTATTGCAAAGAGCCTTCAGGCTTGCTACTGTCGCAGAGGGTCGACCCCACGACACCTTCATGCATGGTGTCGCAGCTAGCGGCTAACGGTATTGGTGGAGTTCATGTGTTGATAGTTTATCAGCCCTAAACCTTGTCCAGGACCCAGAGTAGGCCCTTATTCCTTTTTTTTGGTGGGGGGGGGGGGTTAGCTTCCCTTTTTCGAAGCCCCTTTGAACCAAACGACAGAGCTAAAGAACGCTATAAGCCCTAAGCCCTACACCCCACATATGTATAAACCCTAAACCTAACATGAGGTGATGGCTGTTGCCGGGTTTGGCACTCCGGGGACACTCTGGGGTTGGGCACTCCAGGGAGAGTTTGGGGTTGGGCATTTCAGGGAGACTCTGAAACTGGGCACTCTGGGGGCATTTCAGGGAGAGGAGACTCTGGGCACTCCGGGGAGGTTGGGCACTCCACGAAGACTCGGCAATCTAGGGACACTCTAGAGTTGGGCACTCCAGGGACACTTTGGGGTTGGGTACTCCAGGGAGTCTGGGGCGAGGAGTAGACCGGGCGAGAAAAAAGTTCCGGGCGAGGAGAAGAGTTGAGTTTAAAATCCAACAACCGCACACCGAGGGTGGGGAAAAACAATCACAAAAGTTGAGAGCATTGCGTTCGTTCAGGCCTGACAGTCAGCAAGCGGCAGAGAGAGAGAGAGAGAGAGAGAGACAGACAGGGAGGGTTTTTTTAGGGTTTAGGTGCGCCTGGGGCTTGAGTAACTGTACATCTAGCCCGGCTGGCTTCTTAGAGACCTGGGATGCAAAAAGGGTTTAGGTGGTAAGGCTTGGGGGCAGTGAGGCAGACATCAACAAGCAAGCCATAGTCTGGGCTTTCGGGATTGCAGTCCAATGGCGCGTCTTTTTGCGTCACGCTGATCCACTCAACTTTGTAGGGTTTAGGGAGCAGGGCTTATTAACCTCAAGCCCTATAAACCCTCAACCCTGACCAGGAAAGGTCTCCAACCCCACATCCCCTCAGACTTCTCAGGAACGCTGCCACATTCCTTGGCTGGCCATGAACCGGGGAATTGCACATCCCATCATCCGGGAGTGGAGCCGCAACTGGCCCTTGCTTACAGGACCTGGAATGGGTAGCTAGGAATATTCCTTTAAACCATAAGAAGGAACCCTCTATACAAGGAACCCTCTTAATTTTAAGGAATATTCCTTCATGCCATATAAGGAACCCTCTTATGTTTACAGGAATATTCCTTTGAACCATATAATATAAGGAACCCCTTTATATCTTAGGGAATATTCCTTAGTTAATGGGTATTGGAGTCCCTTGCTTGAAGGTCTTGTTCCGGATATGGAAGCTCCTGGGTTGATATGGGCCAGGAGATGCGGTTCGTCGGAGGGGGGGGGGCGGGGTTAGGGTAGGGTTTAGGGTTTAGGGTTTCTAAGGTTTAGGGTTTAGGTTTAGGGTTCCCGGAGTCTGTGAATACCAGAGGCGGCAACTTTGGTGGCGGCAGGCATAGTTCAAAGGCTCACGCCGGATTCTTGGGCTTTGTTGGCGGGCATGACCTCTGGCCTAACCCCTAGACCCCAAACCTAAACCCTAGAGCCTAACGCACGCAAGCGATGAGGCAAGCAGACTGGCGCTCTGAAGAGCTACTGCTTCTTCAGGCGGGCGGGCAGTTGCCTTGGACGTGTGGACAGTTGTCCCAATTGTCCAGTGTCGGCATGTCAGCAGTAGCAGCTTTCAAGAAGGCCTCGCAGCATCTACAATGGACGTTGCTGCTTGATGCTGGAACCCGCGGCCGTTGTGGCTGACTGCAGTCACGGCAAGTATGTCTGATTGACAACGTCCCCGTATCTTCAGGTCACGCTGTCCAAGCACGCTCACCTGCATTGAGGTGATACAGAAACAAAGGGCCTCAATTCTAGGACACATGTAAAGGTAGCAGGGTAGACACATGCTGAACCATATGAAAAATGCAGATATGCCTATTCTGACGCGTATAAACTTGGGGGCTACTTGTCAAGCACCGACAGATCCTTTCCAGCATCGCCTCGTGGGACCCGGGCGTGGCCCTCCCAAAGCCGCTTGCGCTTGGGAATGCTGGCTCCCACGCCGGGTCTTGGAGCAGTTTTGCGGGTGCCTGCTCTGCCTAGCAGTCTTATTTTGCAGGGTCGAGAGGTTTGGGGTAGTGCGTTGCTAGACGTCCTACTTTTGACAGGCTGAAGATTGCGGTTTTTTACATGTGGCCATAGTTTGTTTGACGCTTCCGAGGCGGGATGGCCGCGAGACCGCAGGCAAGGACTTGATGACTCCAGGAATCTCATCCGGAAGACGCCTACAAGAGTGAGTCGAGGACCTTTGCGCTGGGAAGTGCCCGTAGCGAGCCTTGTCGCCTGCAAGCTGGTCTCATCGATAAAACTCCGGAGGGTGGGCCTGCAGTTGCAGCGCTCAGCCGTGAAGGCAGACCCCGTCAATACTCCCGAGGGGAGTGGCCTCGATGAGGCGGCGCGCCTCCGTTCCGTTGTGCGCCACAACATCATCAAAACCACGTGCCGGGTCGGACTCTGGACGCTCTTTACCGGGCTGGTCGCATACTTGCTTTTCCCGGCATCGCAGAGGCTGTGCTGGACGGTCCTCACGGGATCCAAAACCATCGGTGAGCTGAGCGACGAGACGCAAGGCTACGTGGGCAACGTCCTGGCCCTCATGAGCGTGCTCTTCTCCATCCTCGCTGGGAACTCTTACACCTCTCTTTACAGCCACTTGGTACATGGGTACCCTTTTCCCTTTGTTGGTTCAAGGTTCCCTTATCAAGTAACTAACCAAAAGAAGGGCAAAATGGTGACTGGGCTACCAAGGCCAAAATGAAGCCATCTACTGTGCTCTTTTTGCCGAAGTCTCGGAGGCAAAGGCGCTGATGGAGCAGATCGCGTTGGTGTGTTCGGGCCGGCCCTTCTATCGATCAGCACTGGAGAATATCCGCCGTTACGTGAAACACGACCCTTGGTGCACCAGTGGTACCCTTCTGCTCTCTTTTGCTTTTTGGTTCAAAAAAGGTTCCGTTATCAAGTAACCCAACCCCAAAAAGGGTACTCTTTTTTTGTAAATCTGGCTACTGGGCTGGCAAGGACCTGCGCCGGATAGATATTCCACCCTCGGTCCTTTGTGCTTGCAAGCCTCGCGATGACCCTCTTGAGAGCATCTTGTACCTGACCAGCGTTGGGGTTCCATCGGCGGTCTATGAGACCTGGTGGCCCAGTGGTACCCTTTTACCCTTTCTTTGGTTCTGGGCTCCCTTATAAAAGTAGCCAACTCCCCTAAACCCCAAACCCCAAACCCAAAACCCTAGCCCTAAACCCTAAACCCTAAACCCTATACCCTATACCCTAAACCCTAAACCCTAGACCCTTCAAAAAGGGTGCCCTTATTGCAATATGCTTAATACTGGGGCTACTTAAGGAGACCGTGCGCAGCCTGCGGCAGCGAAGGGGTGATCGCCTCGGGGCGGTGCAAAGGAAGCTTCCCCCAGTACAGATGCTCGGTAGCCCGGTGGTGCCCTTTTAGGGTTTAGGGTTTAGGGTTTAGGGTTTACGGTTTATAGGGTTTAGGGTTTAGGGTTTAGGGTTTTTGCTTCAAAGGTTCACACTTATAAAGTAGCCCAGCCCCCAAAAAGGGTACCCTTCTCACAGTATAGTTTACTGGGCCACCAAGGATGGCTTTGCCCTAAACCCTAAACCCTAAACCCTAAACCCTAAACCCTAAACCCTAAACCCTAAACCCTAAACCCTAAACCCTAAACCCTAAACCCCCAAAAGGGTACCCTTATTAGAGTACATATAGTTTACTGGGCCACCAAGGATGGCTTTGCTCTACGTCCTTGGCGGCTTAAATCTGGTTGGCCTCCTTCTGCTCGCCTTGCGCCGGCCATCGGCTGCCGAGTACCACCTTTGTCGCGGGCTCTTCGCGATGATGGCCGGGGGCTTGATGATGACCATGAGAGTGACTTAGTAGCTGAGTGAGCACACTTTACACTTCTGAAGAACCACAAAAGAATAAAAAGATGATAACCCCTGTATTACCCTTAAAGAGGAAGAATACCTAGTAGCTGAGTAAGCACACTTTCCACTTTTTGGGATACAATAATCGCCTATGGAACTGAAAGTGTACACTTTTTGGGGGGGGCTTATGAACTCGGCAATTTAAGGTGATCCATGAGCTGTGGGTTCCAGTTGGGGGCGCCTACAACGTGGATGGCGTGCTGAGGGTCATGATCCGCGGGCTTGAAGATGAGCTGGACCAGCGTCTGAAAGGCAAGACCTTCTCCGACACTCGCCTCCCCCCACCGCCCCCGAGCTTCAAGCGCCCGATCAAGGCGGATGCCCAGGCAGGGCCGGCAACATCAAGCTGAGCTGCCTCGGTCGCATGTCGTGAGTCGTGGCGGCCGTTCCAGGATGGGCTAGTATACCCCTAGAACGCCTTAAAACGGCCCTTTATAGGGTTGATCAAACCCTAACCCTAAACCTGATTATACCCGTTAAGGCCAAACGTTCGCCCATCCTGCCTAGCCTTGTGGCAAGACTGGGGCAGCTAAGCATTCACCGCGAGACTGGCAGTCTCGGATCCAGCTGTAGTATGGGCGGTCTAGGGTTTCAGGGTTTAGGGTTTAGGGTTTTAGGGTTTCAGGGTCGCTTGACACTGCGGATGTAGTCCTGGCCCGGGATATCGCAAATGGCTTCTGATGTGCTTGTGAAAAGCACGTGCCTGCCTGCTCTGGTTGCCCTCAAGTCAGGGGACTAAAGGAGGGACTCTTATAAGGGACTTTAGGGTTTAGGGTTTAGGGTTTAGGGCTACTTAGGTGTATAGGGCCCATATAAGGTACATGCACAAATGTGCGGGGGTTCTATAGGGGAATAAGATTCAGGGTCCCTTTAGGGGGTCCCTCCTTAGACCCCTTGAAAGCCCACCAATTTCGTCACTAGAGGGGGGTTCTAAGTACGGCCCCTTACTTTGGGTCCCTTGTCATATTGTTATAGCCTAAACCGCAAACCCTAAACTCTAAATCCAAAAACCCTAAACCCTAAACCCTAAACCCTGCCATGTATAACAAGGGTCCTGTAAACAAGTGTAAAGGACCACACTACGGGCCCATGGTTCCAACCTTAGACGGTACATCACCCCCGAGTCTCCGCTGACCAAACATCAGTACACAAGTGGGTGTGGGGTTTAGGGTTTAGGGTTTAGGGTTTAGGGTTCAGGGTTCAGGGTTTAGGGTTTAGGGTCTAGGGTTTAGGGTTTAGGGTCTAGGGTTTAGGGTTTAGGGTTCGGGTTTAGGGTTTAGGGTTTAGGGTTTAGGGTCTAGGGTTTAGGGTTTAGGGTTCAAGCTCGTCTGTTTCTAGAAGGCTCTGTCTTGCGGGGAATGTTTCGCAAAGTGCTGGCAGGGGCAGCGCCTTCCAACCGCAGAACCTGAACACAGTCACTTGGCGGCATGGGGTTTAGGGTTCAGGGTTCAGGGTTTAGGGTTACACCGAACCGCAGGGGTTAGGGTTTAGGGTTTAGGGTTTTTGGTTTAGGGTTTAGTGTTTAAGGTTTAGGGTTTAAGGTTTAGGGTTTAGGCCCTTCCAGAACATCCTAAACCCTAAACAGACCCGAATGCCCATGCCGCTAAACCCGAATAAGCGCTGTTAAAGGCAGGTTCTGGGTTTGGAGGCGTTTTGAAAACCAGCATGGAGAGAGCCCGTCACCTTGCGAAACAGTTTTTGCCCTAAACCCTAAACCCTAAACCCTAAACCCCAAACCCTAAACCCTAAACCCTGCATATTAACTGGCCTGAAGTCACGTGCTCTTGCGGTCCCAGCTCGCCCTGGAGCAGAAACTGAGTTCAAGAATTGTTTCTGCATTCCAATAGGCGCCGTGTAAGGTTTGGGGCTTAGGGTTTAGGGCCCCTGCAAGAAGCCTTGAACAGGATTTCTGGGTAGTTCGCCGGATTATATCTGCACGTGCGCATTGGGTAGCCTCTGGCGAGTGCACATGCCCACCTGCCAGAGGGTTTAGGACAAGCTCCCCTTAACTTTAACGTCGCACCAAGTGCGACGGCAGCGGACAAGAGAGCACCCCACCCACCTGAAACCCTACTCCCCTAAACCCCTGGAACCCTAAACCCTCAACCCCAAACCCTCAACCCTCAACCCTCAGCCCGAAGCCCTACACAACATTATCGACACCCACAGCCTGAACATCTCCGGCCCAGTGTCCAAGTTAAGGGCCGAACCCAACACCGCCCCAATCCACTGCAGGGTTTAGGGTTTAGGGTTTAGGGTTTGGGGTTTAGGGTTTAGGGTTTAGGGTTTAGGGTTTAGGGTTCGTTTAGGCTTAGGGTTCAGGGTCTGGGGTTTAGGGCTTAGGGCTTCTTCACGGGCAGTAGGTTATCGGATGTCTGCTCAAAGTCTCAGAGTCATGTCTCCCGTCCCCATGGCCCAGATCTTGCGCGAGAGATGGGACATGCAGCGGGCCCTGACCTACTTCAAGTCTCGACGGATTGACAGGCCGGTTTAGGGTTTAGGGTTTAGGGTTTAGGGTTTAGGGTTTAGGGTTTAGGGTTTAGGGTTTAGGGTTTAGGGTTTAGGGTTCAAAGCCCAACGCACCCTTGAACGCCCCGGCTGTTCAGGGCCAGGGGGAAAGAGGGGGAGTGGGGGGGGGGTCGGAGTAGGAGAGCGGCGGGGCTCAGGGTTGAATCTCAAATGGGGTTCGTTATGCCCAGAAAAGCACTGCTCTCTAGTAGATGGGGGGGGGGGGGGGGGGGCAGTTCTCAATTGCGGTCCCTTTCGGGGGTCCTACAAGGGTTCCATCGTAATCCCTCGCCCTAATTCTAAATCCCCCCCCCCCCCACATCTGAAATTCGCCTGGGCCCGAATAAATATTTAAAATGGGTGGCCTAAACCCTAAAACCTGAATTCCGAAACCTAATACAACCCCAAAGCCTTAAACCCTCTAAGCCCTGAGCCCTGAATCCTGTCAGCCTTCAGCCCTAAACCCGGAAACCTTAACCCCTAATTCTCAAACAGGTTTAGTATTGGGCTGGGTGCCGGCAGGGTCCGGGAAAAATAATATTTAAAATTTTGGGGGTTTTAGTATCGGGGGAAGGGATTAAGGAAACTACCGATAAGGCTGCTCTTCGGAACGATGCCCTAGTTCAGAGTGCTGAAGGAATTGGGCTATGGGGCTCTCCAAACCCCCCCCCCTCCCCAAAGGTGCACCCACAAATATGCCTATGACTTTAAGTGTTGGATTCTTGGGAGTACCCCTTGAGGGAAAGGTACCCTCTGATGTTTGCTTCAGAGGTACAAAGGGGTTTAGGGTCTGATGTTGCTTCACCTTTGTTCAGAAGGGGCTTAGCATTAAGTAATTTGTGGCCCTGCTGCGCATCTTCAGCCTTAAAGTCAAGGGTTTAGGGCGTAGGGTTTAGGGTTTAGGGTTTAGGGTGTAGGGTTTAGGGTTCAACTCCCAACCCTAAACGCTAACCTGAAAGTTCCTCAAGCCAGGCCCATGGATCGAATGCTCTACCACTTCCAAGGGCATGGGTCGCAGTTGCAGGACGCGTCAGGGGTTTATGTGGTTCCGGGTGCATGGGCGTATAGGTTTTTATTACGGTGTAGGGCTTAGGGGTGTGTAGGGTGGGGGTTTACGGGGTTCGAGGTGTTTTGGGCTTAGGGTTTTAAAGCTTCTTGCTACGGATTTACAAGGGATCTGTAGGCGATTGAAGAAGTGATGAGAACCTCCTCAGCAGCCTGAATTCCATTCATCAGTACGCCTGACTTGCTCGTGGCTCCTTCGACACGAGTCTCATGGTCAAGGGGCTAAAGGAGGGACCCTAGGGACCCTAGGGGTTCTTTGGCGGTTAGTTAGGGGTTACCTAGGTACGTAGGAACTAAATCAGGTAAAGATGACGGTTTTCTAGGGGTTATGTAAGGGAATTCTAAACCCCAAACCCTAAACCCTAAACCCTAAACCCTAAACTCTAAACCCTAAACCCTAAACCCTAACAGTCCCTTCGAGGGCTCCTCCTTCCACCCCTTAACATGAGCAAAGAGGCCGCTACCACCAGCTCTCCTTTCAAGCTGCGCCATGGCCAACACCCTAAACCCTAAACCCTAAACCCTAAACCCTAAACCCTAAACCCTAAACCCCGTACATCACCATCCTTGGCTATTGAAGCACAAGGCAAAAATCACGGAAACAAAGCACTGGGGCAATTTTAAGCTTCCAATCCGAAGGCCAAAGCCCTAAACTTTAGCCGTTCAACCCTCAACCATGGGGCCCGCAACAGCGAATGCAACTTTTGGGTTTCCGTAAACCCCAAACTCCAAAACCCAAAACCCTCAGCCCTAAACCCAAAACCCTGAACCCTAAACCCCAAGCTCCGCACCCCTGGGTGGCCGACAGTGTGCTTCGCAAGGCTGGAAAAGAAGGTTTTACGATACGATGAAACAGAATGGTTTAGGGTTTTGGGTTCAGGGTTTAGGGTTTAGGGCCTAGGGCTTAGGGCTTCGGGCTTATAGTAGATGTACAATGCAGTTGTGCGGTCTAGGAATTCAGAGGTCGCCCCATGACTGATTGGACTTTCCTGATGGAAGAGAGGCCGGGTTCTAATTAGGGCTCTGAAGTTGGGGTCTTCCCCAAAACGGCCCAATTCCCCAGGGTCGAGATCAGGGCACATGAAGCAGGGTTCTGATATCAAGGTGTTCTTAACAACCCAAACTGGTCGCGCGGAAAAAGCAGCAAGATGAACGACAAGAAGGTGGTACATGCACAGCTTATTGTAGGTGCTACTTGCCTTAAGAACGGAAAACCTACTTGTTTGTAGGTTCTTACTATAAAATCCCCTTCTGGGCTTCTTGGGCATCCTACAAAAAAGTAGGCTTTGGTTTTTTCAAGGTGTGCTGTAGCGCCGGAGGAGCTGGATTGCACGCAGCTCTTCAATGAGAGCTCGGTTGTGGGAAAATTGCAATCTCGGCCCGCATATAAAGCGTTTTTTTGGGTTTAGTGCTTAGTGTCTTTAGGGTTTAGGGTTTAGGGTTTAGGGTTTAGGGTTTAGGGCCGAAACCCTAAACCTCTATGGTTGATTATGGGATCAATGACCCCCTTAAATGGCCCCGTACAGGCTTGACTATGGGGATTCAAAGACCTCATAGCCCGTCGTGGTACTGGGTCACCTCAGTTGCTTCGTTTTCGCAGGCTGATAGAGCAGATGCAGGTGCTGAGCTCGGTCGGGTCTCGGGTTTAGGGTTTAGGGCTAGGGTCCCCTGACAAGTAAAGAGTCCCCATAGTGTACCTGTGCATACTTTATTCGGAGCATTTAGTATTATGAGGTAGGGAGGGTTAAATGGATATTTCTCGGCAATAGGGGTTCCC